GCTTTCATTTTTAAATAGTTAGTGCACCTGGAATTGAGTTTCTTATATAAAATGGGAGGTATAAATCCCCTAGCATATTATTTTGCCATCTGAATTACCAAATGTCCAAGATCAAATTCTTTCCTTTTGCCTCTGATATTAAATTCTAGATCTTTTAAATATCTTATTTCTTGGGCTGGGAATATGACTTAGTGGCAGGGTGCCTGGGTTCAATTCCTCAGTTCCACATAAACAGAAAAAGCTGGAAGTGGTGCTGTGGCTCAAGTAGTAGAGCAATAGCCTTGAGCACAGAGATGCTCAGGGACAGAGCCCAGGCCCTGCATTCAAGTCCCAGACTGTCCCCCCCTAAAAAAAAAAAATTGTGCCTGGATTAGATTCTTCATTTTACTCCATTAAATTTTTTAAAGTTTAAGTGTTTATCTATGCTTCAATTCTATTTTATTTTCTAAAATATGGTTGTTTTCAGAGTTTTAATATCTGACAGAGTATGTGAGCCCATCCTGCTGCTTCTTGAGTCTATATTTGACTTTCTGGTCTATTAGTTGTAGTAGAGTGAATACATCAATATCAATAGCCAAAATGACAACCACTCTTGGGACTTTGATTGAAATTGCTTAATTGATCAACTTGGCTAGAATATTTTTATGATATTGACATTTTTGTGATATTGAGTTCCAGCTTTTTAAAATTATGTAACTCTCATTTTGTCTAGGATCATTATAATTTTCCTAAAAATGTTTTACAAAATTTCTCACAAAGTTCTTGCTTATCTTATGTGAGCTTTATTATAGTTTATTTTTGAAAGTTCTCTAAGTAAATTCTAATGATATTTTTGTCTTTATTATTGTAGAGATACATACAGATTGTATGTGTTGATTTTTCTGTGAGTAATTTTTAAAAGCATCAACATTGATTTTTCAATCTCAAAGAGATTTATGACTCTTTCTTATCATGGTAGATCTCTGGAACAAAATAAAGTATGGGCAAATATTTGGCAAGATTAGTTCCACCTGTGGAGAAAAAAAAAAGGATACTTTGAGCCTTATAGCCATATCACCAAAAACAAATTTATAAATACCCAAATGTTACGATATGTTTTGGTGAAAAGGCTTAGGAGGATGGCTTATCCACTATTTGGGTTTCCCATTTTTGTAAACTATTATAAGACAGCTTAAACTATTGATAAACCAGCTTAAATTTTAAGCTGGGCATGGTGATTCACTTCTTTAATCCCAGTTAGCTAGAGACAGAGACAATATTATAATTTAAGGCTAGCCCCTGGAAAAACCTTATCAATATTGACCTCAAAAAATATTCCAAATAGTGGTTTAAGCCTCACATCACAGCTACTTAGGAGGCAAAGATATTCTGAGATTGGCCTGGGAGATGTACAAGTCTATAAACGAAGGAAACTTCTTTAGAGCAAAAAGAATTACATGTGTGATTCAAGTAGTAGAGCCCTTGTCAAGCAAGCATAAGGCTTTGAGTTCCATCGATTCTCAGTATTGCCAAATTAATTAACTAATTAGTAATTAATGAATAAGAAAGCCGATGGTGCATTTTATGTTGCCTACACACAAAAGGGTCCAATCCATACTTAATACCAAACCTCATTTGGTAAAGCAGTGCTTCCTGTCCCAGCACTCTTCATCTCCATGCGCCAGCTGCACTGCACTTGGTTTGTCCTAGACTCACCAGGCTGTACTAACACAAGGTTTAGACCTAAGGTTTATTTTCTGCTTCTTTCCCCTGCAACTTCATCATCATGAGTTCAGTGAACTGATTGGTTAACTTATCTCACTCTTTTGGAACTCTTCTGTTACCATATACTCATATACCCTTTATGCCACAATTGATCATTGTAGTCCATACTGAGTGTGCAGGATTCTTTCTTTACTGTTGTTTCCCTGGTGAAATGCAAACTACCTGTGGGTTCATAGTTATATAGTCAGTGCACAGCTCAGGCAATAGCATATCACAGATGTTCTACAAAAAATAAAAAAAAAATAAATGGATCTTTTTTAAAGCAATGTTCTTACGTTCATGAGTATGTTAATTGAATCACTCATAAATAATTATATTATAAATAGTTATGTTATAAAAAGTAGCACACATGCAGTGCAAAAGATCTGAGCAGCAGTCGATCATACAAGGATAGACGGTCACTCTAATTTCTCCATCTATGGAGTTTTCTTGAGGGAGTTTGAGATTTGAAATTAGACCAATTGGGGAAATAAACACATCATACAGACCAAGGCAAAATGAAATAGAAGGGTAGGCCACTTGTCTGTGCATGAAGAAGTAATTAGTCTTTTATTTTCCTTTGGCCATACTGGGGTTTCAGCTTGCTAGGCACGTGTTCTACCACTTGAGCCATGCCCCCAGTCCAAGTAGTAATTAATTCTAACTGGGCTAATCAGAGAAAGCTTTACAAAGGAGAGTGGAGTGGGCCATGGAGAGGAGAAAGCATTCCAGGAGTAGCAACATTTTACACTCAGGTACCACAAGTGAGTAAAGTTAGAAAGACATGCAAAATTGACTCAATCTGACAGAAATGGTGTGGCAGACTGCAGACTAGAATGTGGCAGGCTGATAGAATGTTGCAGCATCCACTATAACAGGAGAGTAATGTTCTTGGAAGTGCCCTGTGTGAAGGACAGACATTTGGGAGCCACTGGCTTAGGACCAGGTTCTGAAAGTCTACATATAAGTAATCACACTTTGAACTAATCAGGAATCACAGTTAGAAAATTAGATTCAATCAAGGTAGTCTTTTTTTAAGTTTATGATTGGTCAGACATAACTTTAAATGTTTCTGTTGCTTTCAGTCTTCTTGAGGAGAGGATTAATATGGGCTTACATTGATGGTAAGAAAGTCAATTTGTGGCTGAGATACCTAAAGAAAACGTTTGGAAGGCAATTGTCAATGTATAAAATCAAGAGACCAGTGAAGTGCTGAGAACTGACAGAGAGAACACAGGACCTGCGCATAGCTGTCGGTGAGCTTGCATGTATATCAGCCGGAAAAAGTGAGCACGAAGTGGAAATGTCCTTCAGTAGTCTGTGGGAAGGGAACTGACTACAGTTTGGGGTTTGTCTAAAAAGTGGGAGAAATCTATATGAGGGTAAATTAATGTAATGATTAAACATTATAGGAAGGTAGGCCAAAATTGTCCATCTACACATTCAAGTTCAGTCACAGTGAGGATGGAAAACAGGAATAAGATAACCCTTAAAGAGAACCTTGGAATTTTGTATTTTAAAGTGATTCCCTAATGTTTGGGGAGAAAAAAAGTGGATCCTTATAAATCATTGTATAGTAACTGAGATTTAGCTTCAGGGCAAAGCTCAATGAGAGAAGTCAGGGAGGGTCACAAATTGCTACATTAAAATCCATCAAGGTTGTGATAAAATTTGTAGAATATGAGACCAGATGTAAAATCGATAGCAGGAAGTTAAGTGTAACTTCAAAAGTCATGTTGTAAGGGGATGGTGTGTTTTTAGAACTATCTCTTTCTCTAGCCATATGAGATAAATGTAGTAAGCAGGCATATTTTGAAGTTAAGATAATAAACAAGGAAATTCAGAAAAAAAATGTACATTTCTTATTGATTTTCTGGATTGATGTTTGAGTTGTACATTTCCTAACTACATCATAGAAATCACCTTTGATGCATGTAAGTTAATATTAGGAAAGAAAAGAACAAATGTATGTATAACAATAGAGATAAAAGATGGATTGAGTGTTCTTTTGTTGAAACTTTTTGTGGAGAAAAGGGAATTGGAAGACCAAAGTAACACCTTTCTCTCAGGAAATTCTTTGTTGTTGTTGTTGTTGTTGTTGGTCATGGGGCTTGAACTCTGGGCTTGGACGCTATCCCTGTGCGCTTCAGCTCAAGGCAAACGCTCTACCGCTTAAGCCACAGCGCCACTTCTGGTTTTCTATTGGTTTATTGGAGATGAGAGTCTCACAGACTTTCCTGACCAGGCTGGCTTTGAACTGCAATCCTCAGATCTCAGTCTCCTGAGTAGCTAGGATTACAGGCATGAGCCACTGGTGCTCAGCTTCAGGAAATTATTTCTAAGTCCCAAGGTTTAAAAACAATTACAAATTTTTGAGCTAAAAACTTAGTGATGAATCATACAAATTTTAAAAAGCTACTTGCTTGGTGAAAAAGGAAACGCATATGTTTCCTTAAACATTGCTTTTGCTTTTGTTTAAATAGCACAAAGCATACAGTTTTTAACCCTTTTTCTCATAGTTACCATTCTTAAGGAAAGTAATAATTGTGCTATTAATATGAGCTTACCTTGTCCTTATCCTATAATATTATTCTTAATATACAGGTTGGAAAGCTGAGATTCAGAGAAATTAGAAAAGTTGTAGGGCTCAGTGGATAAAATCAATCACAAATCTACCTAACTTGAACCCCACTACTTTCTGTAAAGAAAACTATGGTTTTGGAAGCAGCATCTTTGTGTTGTCTTCAACTACTATGAGTTTGTTTTCCTGTATATATAAATAAACACATGCAGAGCCACAGTTATTGCCTGTATATGTGTGTGTGTGTGTGTGCATGTGTTTGTGTGTGTGTGTGTGTGTGTGTGTGTGTGTGTCTGTATGTGTGTGCCAGTCCAGAAGTTTGAACTCAGTGCCTGGGTCATGTCCCTGACCCTTTTTTTGTTCAAGGCTAGCTCTCTACCACTTGAGCCACACCTCTACTTTCAACTTTTTTGGTAGTTAATTGGAGATAAGAGTTTCATTGTCTTCCCTAAAAACTGGCTTGGAGCCTCAATCCTCAGACCTAAGCTTCCTGACTAGCTAGGATGACAGGCGTGAGCCACTTGTGCCTGGAAATTGCCTAATTTTTAAATGTGTGAATACATAGATGTTTAAAGTGTATTCCTTCTGTACTTGTCTGAGGACATGATTTCTTTTTAACCTTCACTTTATCACAAAATGATGCCGCGTGTAATATTTCCAAGCAGTAAATGCACAGTTGTATTAAGAAATATTTTATTAACAAAACAGTAAATTCCACTTGCTTAGCATTTCCAATAATGGATAAATTGGCGCCTTGCAACAGAAAAACAAAACAAAACAAACCCCTTAGATACCCAATCACACAAAGTACTAGAAGGGTAAGATCACGTGGCCTTTCTTGGATGTCTTAGGGATTGACCACCTCACAAATTATTGTCGCAATTTTTGTTTTGAAAAAGGCAACACATTACATGGATTACAAAAACAAAAATAAGAAGCAGATTCAATCAGAAAAATTACAGTCTAGAGATGTAATCAAATTTATGCCAGGTTGTGTGAGATTCTCTATTAACTGCAAACTCCGCAAGAACCCTGGTTCATTTGGTATGACGTTATGTAGATCTTATGCAAGTCTTTTCTCTCTCTAACTCTGAGTTTCTCTCTTTTCTTTCACCATTCAGGGAAAATAACCTCTAGTTTTGGTGTAGTTCAGTAGGATTAGAAATAATTTTATATCCAATAGGGGACTATATTATCATATGGAATTTAAAATATTATGCTGGAGGGAAAAAAGTCATTATAATCAATCCCAGACAGCATGTCTCATAGATAGACTGCTTAAAAATACCACTATTCAGTTAATTATCTATTACCTTTTAGATTCTTCGCATATGAAACTAGCTCAAATTCAACAGATCTAATGAAAAAGCAGCCATTTTCTTTCTAATCTTAAGCTGTATATTAGTGGTTTTATGTCTCCTTTTTATTTCACTGGCTTTCCCTGAGTAAGATTGAATGAGAGGGATTGGTGGAAAAAAGACTTGTGAGTTCTTTAACCTGGCAAATTAAAAATATTTTTAAAAAGTTGAAATTGAAGAAATGGGTATTAAATTTTATGCCATCTACTTTCTGGGTCATGAAAAGCCTTTGAGATTTCTTACACAATGTCTTGGCAACTGTAAATTGTGGTGATTTGATATGAATTATATGTATTCCTAAGGTATTCTATGTCAGAAATCCAGGCCATTTCTTGGCATTTTTCATCACTGAAAGTATCACAAAAGATGTTTTGCATTTTTTTGCCTTTGCTGATTAAAGCTAATTGTAAAAGGTATTCTTTTCTTGTATGAAATCTAGTACCATTCTTGATGTTCAAGTAATGTGACCATTTCTTGCCAAAGCATCACCTGGCCATGTAATAACATACTTCCTTTACATTCCTTTCTCATATGAATAATTTATTGCTGTGAACATCATTGAAACAATATGCAAAAACAAGTGTATCATCTATACTTTCTACTACTTAAGGTATGTTAAACGAAACCTATGTTTAAAAATATAGAGGAAAAACCAGAAGCGTTAAAATTTAGTCAATGATCAATTAATAGAGAATGGTTTTTAGAATGGGTAGTAATACAGAGTGAAAAATTATTGAAAACACTTTTTTTTTAGTTGAGAAAGGGTTGACTTTCCAAAAAAAGAGTTGATCATGCACATCAGGTTCAAAGAATACCTAGATTATCTTACTGGAAACAAAGTTTTTCACTTGCAGCAGTCAGAATTAAGGTGTGGATTGATAGACTTTGCTTCCATAACCTGCCCACATAGCGTGTCATACTCATGCAGCAATATACCAGCAATATTCTGTTTGATAAGAAAATGCTCCATTACATTAGGGACTAAAAATCTTCTCAAGGATCCTGGGATGGGGATCTGAATGAAGCAAATCACCCTAATTTGTCATAATACCTTGGCACCACTATCTGTCCTTTCTGTCTCTCCATGTGTCAGTGAGTATTTGCTATGGTATGCATATTTGGGGCATCCATCATATGTAATGGATTCCTGTATGTGTGTGTATGTGTGTATGTGTGTTTGTGTGATATGTATGAGTGAAAATGGTAAACATATATGGGCATGTGAAATTTGGGGGAGAAAAGATTATAAGATACATATGTATATATTTTACCTTCTAATTCACACCTTTCATACAAATACTAAAACTTAATTGCAACAGAATGAAGGCTGTACATGTAAGAAAAAAAGTAGCTGAGTCTTTTATATACATTCATACATATCTTTCTTAGAATAAAACACTACACTGTAATTCTTGTTTAGAAAAGTAAATGTGGCAATTTATAATGGTGGCAAAAAAAAAATCATCTGACTGAAATCATTGTTGCTCCGATGTCATAAAACTTCCTTATACTTAGCAACACTTGTAACATTGAGTTTACCAAAAATGGCCGAAGAGCAGAGATATATTTTGCATTTTCTATACAACAGGCTATAAAACGTCACTTATCACGGTCCAGAAAGCACACAGAGATGGGTTTTATATAAACATATGTAATAACATAGTAAGCGTGCATGAAAGTTTCCCCATGATTGCATCTATGCCCTCTCATTTTTTGTTTTGAAATTTTAGTGTGAAAATGTGCCTTATATTTCACATTAATTATTTTTTTTGGAAAATAAGGCCTCCATACTTTTATATTTCCTCTCACAAACAGAAAGGGGCTTTTTTTTTTTTTCAATGTGTTCCAACACAAGTCTTCAAAAAACAAGCCAGCACTTCATTTCAAATGCAAGTTCCAACCTCTGCTCTGGTTGCACCGGAGTGCTTAGGGGGGTCAAACTCATGAAGGTTTGCAGGGTGGGTTACTCCGATGGACAGTCTTCTCTGACAATCAGACTAACTGACTTCTCAGGAAAGCGCTAGCACTTTGGCTAAATCCAGGATCATAGGTAGCTTCTTTTTTTTAAATTTTTTTTCATGTTATGTTTGTGTTGTTTTTGTGTTGTGTCTTGGTGTTGTAATACTCCTTGCTTTATGAATGCGTGCGGTCATCACTGTCTCTGAGAAATGTTCCAGCAACATAAAGACAGGCAGAGTAAATAAAAACACTGCGGATGTTAGGGAATTTATTGGCCCCTGTTTTTGTTGTTGTTATTGTTTTGCTTTGTTTTGTTTTTTTGTGATTTTTTTCCTTTTTTTTTGAGAAACAAGAGCATGAGATACTTGTTTGTTGATTGGTTGTTTGTTGTTGTTGTTGTTTTTAAAAACAGTCTTCCCTTCCTGATTGCATTCCCTGTCTTCTTTTGTATGTGCTTCATAAAAAGGAAAGTAAATAAGTTTATATTATGTCTCAGATAAAATGAAGACTATTTCTATACAAGGGTCCTTTTTTAAGATCTTGGGATCAGACGTAATACTCTTTATCCTTGTTTTTCTTGTTTTTGTTGGCGCTTTTCGCACTGCTGGGTTGTTTCTCCTTTACAACAGCTCCGTTGGACTGGGCCGAGTTACTGATGTAGTTTCGACTCTCATCCACGTGGTAGGATCCTTCATCTCGGTTTCTGTATTTGTACATAGCGTAGAGGAGGATGAGGATGCAGAGGGCAGCCGCCGCGACGATGCCCACTACCATGCCCGTGGTGCTGCTGGACTCGCGGATCACCTCTGCTGAGCCTGGGTAAGGCTCTCGGCCTCCCACTCGCGTTGGGTTGGCTGTAAGAAACAGGGAGAACAAACAAAATGATATGGAGGTTCCTGAATGCCAGAGAATACATTAACATTTACCATCAATTTTAGCCACTAAGAATGACACCCGCTGCTTTAGGAAAAGCATACTGTCGTTAAAGGGAGATATCCCAATGACTCCTGGTCTGACTCTCTCTGTCTATCTCTGTCTCTGTCTCTGTCTCTCTCTCTCTCTCTGCCTTTCTGTCTCTGTCTCTCTCTGCCTTTCTGTCTCTCTCTGTCTCTCTGTCTCTGTCTCTCTCCACACACACACACACACACACACACACACACACACACAAGAGAGACTTTGACTCAAAATGATCAAAATGCTTGGAGAGAGATTGGCTACCATTTTTTTTTCTTTCACAGACAAAAATCCCCCAAATCCACACCAACTAGGCAGAGAACCATAAATGCAAGATACCAAATGCAATCAGAATAGTCCTACCTTACACTACTAGAGGAAGTCACTTTAAGAATGAAATTGATGTTGCTATGAAATAATTAAAGCCAACACTAGACTGAATCGGGATAGCTAAATTTGGAACTACTTTAGAATCATACAGCCTTGTAATAAACCCAGCGTTAAAGAAGATAATGCCTGTATTTTAAAAATCTAATTGTCTGTTTTTAAAGTGAAATTTTACATCTTTATAAACTAAAGCAGAATTTATTTTTTACTGTTGGAGATTCAGATTCATTTATCTCTATATACATATATATATATACAACATTATATATAGTATGTACAATATTTTATTATATAATATATTTCAACATTGTAATATATTGTATCATATACAACGTATCATATTATATAGCATTGTATATACTATGTTTTATTTAAACATTGGCACTGACTGAGTGATTCTCAAAGCTGAAATTTGGAGGAAATTTTAAATTAACAAAATCAATTTTGAATGCCTTCTAGATTGCTTTTGAATCAAAAGCTCAGCATGTAATAGATGATAATAGACAACTGACTGGCCTAGCTTTATTCCACTGACAAAACCCTCAGCCAGTCCAAGTGATAAGTAAAGCTCTTCCTTTGTACAAGCAATAGGTTATGGGACACTTAATTTCTCCATTGGATGACCACCGAAGGCAAAGAAAGAGCCCTGGAAATTACTAGGAAAATAGAGTAAAGGAAGTGAATGGAGAGTTCTTTTTCTCTATGCACCATCATTTGTTTGTATACTACAAAGCAGTAAAAGTATAGAGAGAAAATATCCTATCTCTCCCTGACCTATGCCATTTTTATCTTTATACGTTGTTTTCTGTCTTTGCTGAATCTCCATCCTCTATCTTGTCCTACAGGAAAAGATTAGCTTTCATATTTTAATAGGTTAAACTATAAAATTAAAAACATTATTCCTGATAAATAGCTCACAATAAATTTAAACTACCTCAAGATTATATAAATATGCCTATTCAAATACAAATAATATATCTTATATGCAATAATTTACAATATTTATATGGGTGATAATATATAACACTGCATACATGTAATATATGGTATGTGTTATATATAACATATATATATACACAATGCATGTTTCTGCATATGGGTGATATATGTGCATACAGATCAAGAAATGAAAAATTCAAGAAGACTAAAACTGAGATTTTATTTCACGACTCCCAAACATTACTCGGTAATTGTTTTTATTATTTCTAAAATGGTTTCTCTTTATTACAGGGAATCATTTGCAAAATCATCTAGCCTTTAGCGCTATGTTATTTTTATTTTCAAACATTATCAGAAAATGTTCTGCCTAAATATGAGATTTTTTTTTGGCAGTCATAGGGAAGGAGTTTTCCTTCCCCAAATAAAGTCACACAGGTACAGTTACTTAGAAAGTAATACCTTTCAGTCTCAAATCTGCAATAGGATGGGTTCTGTTGTATCCTTTAGATCAAAATACAGCAACAGAAATCACTCTATGCTGTTGATTATGTAACTGCTGTTTTACAAAAGCACATGTATGTGGCTGAATAAAAAAGTCTCAGAGTTACTTCCCTGGCCAAAGTAGGAGACAAAACTATAATCAGCATTTGATTACAGTAAATTAATTTCCTCTCAAGAAGCAAAGAACTCACTGTGGTAACTGTCACTAATGGGCCAGACCAAAGGCAGCATTTTCCCTTTTAAATATAGTCATCTTTGCCAAAGAGTGCCAATTAGCTTAGCTGCTGGCTTTTCTCAGTTGACAACTTTCGACTTGTGCCTTTTGGGGAGCATTCTTTTAACATGGCATCCCAAGAGGTTAAAAGAGAAACTTACTTAAATGTTAGCTTACATCATTTTTCCTACCTGATGAAATGCTTTCATATGCAACATATGTTCACAATTATCTCACTTTGTTAGAAAGGAATGACAGAGAATGGAGATATAAGCATTCAGCCCATGATAGTAATTTGTGGATGGGAATGGAATGTGGAGTTTAAATTCTTTCCATTTTTTCTCTTCTTTTTAAAAATTCTCCTGAAGTACTTGAATTAAGGGGTTTCAATTCAACATGTCAATTTGTGATTACAATACATCTTGATCAGTGTCACTATCTAAAATAACAGATACATGCATATTCATATACATCCATGTATAATTGGAAATTGGTATCATAAATGGAATATCTTATCTTAATTTTACATTTAATTATACCCGATATGATTTTCAACAACCTTATGTATAACATTGCAACAACAGATGCTTTCAAACTAAAATGACATTGCAAAGAAAAAAGCAAAACCTAAATTTATTATATGTAGGCATTTGAGAAACATCTCCTATTTACTTGCTTGCTTTGCAACACCGCCAAAATATTGCTTAAGTCATATGAGGCCTAAAAATATTTCCATCTAACCCAAATAGAGAGAACCATTTTTAAATAAGATAGAAAAAGCCTCTCTAAAACTGAAATATAAACCCAATACGGGATCATTTTGTCATTTCCCTCATTTGCATTGAACATTTAATTACATTTACAATAGATATTATTGTAGACCCCTTTTGCTTCCATATCTAATAAATACTTTTTTTTCTGATTATCACTCAAATCTGTGAACTAAATGCTATTGCCCTTAAGTTTTTCCAAAGATCAAAAGTATTTATGTGTTAATGGGACATTTTTCCCAGAGGTGCAATAACTGGCTAGATAAATTTAAATATATTTATGAATTATAAATGCTATTTGACTTATTGATTGCCCTTAATGCTTTATTTTGATGATCACTGAAAAACCTTTGAATGTGTTTCATATTTATTTTAATGTAGAAAATAATATAAATGGCTAGTCAGACCTAATGTCTTTTTGCATAATTTGTTCAGAGATATATAAAAGAAAAACTCATTTTTTAAGCATTTAGGAATGTAAAAAGAAAAGGATTTTAATCAAAGAAAACCATAAGTAGTTCCTGTGTCTCATGGATTTGAGGATTTTGCACTTTTCTATACTCTGTAATATAATAACAACACTTTTAATAGCTGAAATAATCTACATATTTTATCTTAACAGAGATAAAACTGTATGAATAAACTAAAACTTACTTTGACCCTTTCTCTTTTGGCCCTTTGAGATAAGTACTGAAAAACTTTGCAAAACAAATGAAAGGTATTTTAAGAAGTCAAGTCAGGAATTCAGGCATGCCCATCACCTGTGAGCTGGGACTTATGGGCTTCCACCATAAAGACAAGATGGTTCCAGTTAAACCTAAACCCTATCATCCACCCCATATCCAATATGGAACTGCTTAGGTTCAGCATCCTTACTTCAGTTATGTTGGGCCCTGTGCTAAATGCTTATACAAAGGCTGAGGCAAATGAAGGCATGTTGGACATGATAAACATGGGCTGCTGTGGTGAATAGAAGCATCTTTGTGTCCCCAGTGCCTGATGTCTTAGTGTGTGTGTTCATGTGTATATCTTTCTGTGTCTAAGCCCATGTCCCTGTCAATCACTACCTATCTACTGAGGAACTTCGGAGAGAAAACTCAAATAAGAGAGAGTATGAAAATTAAAAACAAACCACCACCACCACCACCACCAACAACAACAACAAAAACAAATGAAAGCCTGGCAATGGTAGCTCAAGTTTGTAATCCTAGCTATTCAGAAGGATGAGATTTGAGGATCATGGGACAAAGCCAGCTTCCGCAGGAAAGTCCTTATCTCTAATTGATCACCAAATAGCTGGAAGTATAGCTATGGATTCTGTTGTAGAGCTCCAGATTTGAGTTGAGAAAGCCCAGGGCAGGACCCAGGCCCTGAGTTCAAGCTCAGTACTGACACCAGAAAAAAGAGAGAGAAAGAGAGACAGAGTGAGAAAGATAGAGGAAGACTGAAGAAGAAAAGAAGAAAGAAAGGAAGGAAGGAAAGAGAGAGAAAGAAAGAAAGAAAAGAAAGAGAAAGTGAAAGTGAAAGAGAAAGGAAGGAAGAAAGGAGGGATGGAAGGAAGGAAGGAAGGAAGGAAGGAAGGAAGGAAGGAAGGAAGGAAGGAAGGAAGGAAGGCAGGCAGGCAGGCAGGCAGGCAGGCAGGCAGGCAACAAAAGAGGCTGGAGGTGGGGGAAGGTGGCTTAAGGAATAAACCCCACAAAGGTCTTGGACAGTGAAGTGTTAACTCTTTTGTAGGTAGTTCAAGCATTTATAGCCAGTTCATATTGGGCCCAGGGACACAAGGAATCTGGGTCAATGGCAAATTCCGTGAGACTGATGGAGGTCACAAGCCAAGACATATAAGTGATTCAGTATGATTACAGACAAGTATTCAACTTCTGAAGTCACACATATTTCACTTGAAGTCAGGTCACTAGCAAAGAAAACAAGTGAGGTGAAATCTAAGTAATTAGAATTTGTGCTTCCTGTTTCAATGACGCAAGGGAAAGAAATCATCATGAATTAGCATAATGTATGTAACTTATACTAATATATTATTATATGTGTCACATTTATAATCTACTTGCAATTTGGACTCTCCATTTTATTA